GACGTCACTGATGACGTCACCGGCATCGTCATCGTCATCATCACTGATGATGTCACCGGCATCCGCATCGTCATCGTCATCATCGCTGATGACGTCATCAATGACGTCACTGATGACGTCACCGGCATCCGCATCGTCATCGTCATCATCATTGGTGACGTCACCGTCATCCGCATCGTCATTGTCATCATCACTGATGACGTCATCAATGACGTCACTGATGACGTCACCGGCACCTGCATCGTCATCATCACTGATGACGTCACCGGCATCCGCATTGTCATTGTCATCATCACTGATGACGTCATCAGTGACGTCAGTGATGACGTCACCGGCATCGTCATCGTCATCACTGATGCTGTCACCGGCATCCGCATCGTCATCGTCATCATCGCTGATGACGTCATCAGTGACGTCACCGGCATCCGCATCGTCATCATCATTGATGACGTCACCGGCAACCGCATCGTCATTGTCATCATCACTGATGACGTCATCAGTGACGTCACTGATGACGTCATCGGTATCCCCATCGTCATCGTTACTGATGACATCATCGGCATCGGCATCGTCACGTGACCCCCCTAGGTCACGTGACCCCCACCCAAGGTCACTTGACCCCCCCAGTACCCTTCCCTCCTCCTCCTCAAAAGCTGCGCTCTAATTCGGCGTTACAGGGAGTTGTAAACGGCTTTCACTTTTTTTTACTTCAAATCTTTTATACGGGTAACGCGTGCGCGTGCGGCGCGGGCGTCTGCAGCAGTAACTGGTCTAAAGCAAAAGCCTAAAACAAAAGACCTCTTGCACGCGCGTACGTCAACGCTTCATTTTGGGTATTTACTTCGAATATTTTATACGTAGAAGGCGTGCGCGTGCGGCGCGTGTGGCGGTGCGAGTGTAGAGTTTTTAGTCACTGCACACGAAAAATCCACTGAACCCTGGCCATAAACAGCTTTGCTGTAAAAAATGAGTGGTTTCTACGGCCGCTACGTGCTAGTGTCGCGCTCCTTGTTGGCTGCGGTGCTGACGCCAGTTACGCGTAGCTGACTGAATCAACTAGTGATGACTTTAAAAGGAGGGGGAGGGGGGGGCGGAGGGGGTGAAGACGGCGTCGAATACTTTACTAGGGGGAATACATCCAACTCCGTTCATCTCCATTAGACGGCGCGCCTACTGCGCTAATTTCTTCCCTGGCGGGTTGGACGTCACGCCACGCCGACAAAAAACATAATTTGCTCTAAACATATTGAAAAGCAAGCTAAAAAAAACATTGAGCCAACACTTGCGTCAACCGAGCAGCCTGCGGCGTGCCCTTCACCCACCGGCGCGAATGCCTCATATCCGGGACTTATATGGCAATAGGTGGCACCTCCCACCACTCCCAATTCAATGCGGAAAAACCGAAAGTTGCTGGTCATCCAGCATTTCAAAGTGCTCCAGAACTGTCCGCGCCGAGGCCATTGTATCATCGGGGACTAGGATGTATTCCTGCTTATGAAATATGTGACCGAGGTTTCGTTTTCCAGGTGGTATTGCTATTAGCGCCGAGATGTTTCAGTGGCGCCCTCTTATGGTTTTCCTTAGAGTTCCTGTATAGCTACCTACGGTAGCAGAGTTGCGCATTCAGCCTCGGCGAGTGGCCGTAGCGCCGGCTTTCCCGCACGAACTGGATGCTTTGCTCCTCACGTGACTGAATTTGGTGAAGAGCGGCGCCGCGCGCGCCGCCGCGCATGGAAAACAGGAGAGGAGGAAAAGGAGGCGGAAAGCAGGGAAACATACGCCGGGGCAAGAGAAACGTCGGCGGAGCGACCGTAAAGGTGGCTTTCTTGCACGCCAACGGTTGCTTTGCTCCTCACGTAATGGATCTCGGCGAATAGCGGCGTGGCGGCGCGGGGAAAACAAATGCGGAACTCTGGCTCCCGTAGGGAGCCTATACAGGAGCTCTAGTTTCCCTCCGTGACGTCATGACTGGGATTTGCCTCGCCGTGACGTCACCAGTTGTTATTCTGGCTACTTACCATCGGGTGCAACAACGAGTTTGATGGTGTGTTTAAAAAGCTCAGTAGAAGCTAGGAGCCATCGCAATTCGAAACTAACACCGCCAAAGCTGACAATGTGACAGTGCTCATATGCCCATGGTTTGGCCAATCGTGGGAAGTAAAGCCCCTTGATAAAGGTGTTCTTACAAGTACCGCCAACCATTGTTGTGGAAATGCGCAAGACACGTGCCACGAGCGGGTGCTCCGCCGCCATTCGCTTCCAAGGGCCGCTCATTTCAGTGCTGCGCCGCCATTTGCTTCCAAGGGCAGCTCGAGACCTGGGCCACGTGCGCTCGAGCATTTGGCGCTACTTGCAAAGGCAAACGAAAACATATCGAGGGGCTTTAGTGCGAAGCTGACCGCAGCGACGCTTTTGGCCGCGTACATCGCTAATTGGCGACGTGTGCAATCAAAAGCGTCACTGTGGTCGGCCTTCCAGGATTGGCCGAATGCTGACTATAACGTTAGAAAGGCATTCCTCATTGACCAAAATAAGAGCAATGTAAGAACTTCACTTTTGATGGTGTTGGCAGTGTTGGTTTCAGGGCGCAATAATTTCAAGCTTCCACCATGCTCATTACAAACACCGTTGAGCTTGTTGTTCGCAAGGTAATGTCACGAGAAGGAACCATAGGAGGGTGGCACCACAACATCTCGCCGCTAATTAGCGGCGAGATGTTTCGGTGGCGCCCTCGTTCCGTTACCTTTCGTGACGTCATTACCATGTGAACAACAAGCTCGATGGTGTTTGTAATGAGCATTCTGGAAGCCTGAAATCATAGCGGTCTCAAAGCAACGCTGCCAACACCGTCAAAATGGAAGTTCTTACATTACTCTTATTTCCGTCGATGAAATGGCTCCTTTGATGACGTCATAGTCAGCATTCGGCCAATTGTGGTGGACCGACCACAGTGACACTTTTGATCGCTCACGTCGCCAATAGTACCAATAGACCCTATTCACTGGCGGCCATAGCTGTGCGCGCGACTGCTGAGCGCGTGCTGATGACGAGCCTCCTCAGTTCTTTTGGAACGTGCATTCCGCACCATCAAGGTTGCCGGGTCTTAAAGCAACATATTACTGCGCGCTCGTTCCGAACACGCGGTCTAAATAGGGCACACAAATCTGACGTTCAGTAAATACTCCCTGTTGGCGACGTATGTGATCGAAAGTGTCGCTGTGGCCGGCCCTCCACAATAGACCCTTTTCAAAAGTCAGAGTCCTCTTGTGGCAGTATAAAAAGCTCCATTATTGCCGCTCTAATGGCGGTGATAGGAGATCATGCGCGGCTAAATCAAACACCCTCGATTCCGTGCATCGAAGGTGACGTGAAAGGACCAACATCTTTTCCTTTTTCTGCTCTATGCTTTCGAAGACGTTCGATTTTTCTGGTGTGGAGAAACAGTGTAGTTCCGCCATTAGAGCGTCGGGTCTGGCTCTGCACAAGGTGGGTAGACTGACTTTCGTAAAGGGTCTATTGGCCAAATGCTGACTATGACGTCAGCAAAGGATTTATCATTGACGGAAATAAGAGGAATGTAAAAACTTTAATTTTGACGATGTTGACAGTGTTCCTTTGAGAACCCAATGATTTCAAGCTTCCATCATGCTCATTACAAACACAATCTAACTTGTTCGCAAGGTAATGACGTCACGGGAGGGGAACCATAGGGGGCGCCACCGAAACATCTCGCCACTAATAGGTAGCACAAGCTGTCAAGGTGAAATCGGTAGGGCGTGTCTTTCGAACTCCCTGCCTCCAGCACGCTCTCGTTAGCTTTCACTGTGATTGGGCTGCGCATGCACGCTCGAGGCTCAGGAGGCTAAGGAGACACTGAAGCGTTGTTGACGGTAAACAGTAATGTAATCTTCAGGGTGTTCCCGAAACAATTCTGAAATTTTTATTGGTAAAATGGCGGCCAACAAAGGCTCATTAATATATGAAGCTCTATGGCGGCAGTTACCGAAATATGGAAAAATGGCCCCAATTTTCCCTTTGAAATTTTCAGAAAATCCCCTATAACCCTTGAATAAGGTAATTGTTCGTGCTAAAACTTTGGCACCTGGTTCAAACCTCTAGCGCTACATGTGGTTGGAGAGTGAGCCTTGGGTAATATAAAGCTTATTTTTTGTAATAAAAAAAAGAAAAAAAAAACTTTATATTTCAAAGTTGACCCCAGCTTTAATTCACTGAAATTTGTCCCTTCGATAGCTCAGTGTGGACAGAAATTCCCTCTTGCAGAAACGATTGCCCTTATCCTTAAATCTCCGCTTTGAGTGTGGCTCTTTACGGACGAACATTGTTGTTGTCTCATAAATTCAGCGGCGGTGACAAGCGCGCCACGGAGCCTCGGGTGTGGCGGCTAGTGAGGAGCGATCACGGAATTGACTACGGCATCGGGACCTTTCGTGCCTTAGCACACAGAGAATTACAGGAGGCCGCTGCTCTCGCCATGCACGAAATGGCAGCCCTGGATATGCCACTCGCTTAGTCTAGCTTGGCACAAAACGTTCGTCATTTATTTTCAAATTAGCAAATAAGAAAAAGGTGGATTCACACACAAAAAAGTCAACGTTGTGACGCTGGGCTTTAAGCGGCTGGAGCCGATGTCAAGTGCCTTAAGCCAAGTTCCCAAGCATCGTGCTAAGGCTGCCTAGGGAGCCAAGTGTAGCAACTAAGCCGCAGTCATGTGGCTCGTACATGTTAAAAAAAGTATATGATATTCACTGTAGACATGGTAACCTAATTATTTGAAGGCACAACTTAAATATGTTCGAAATATGTTTGACGTATACGCGCTTACGGTCCAACATGTATAAAAACAGTTTTGAAATGACCAATGTGGCAGGGTCGTCATGCACGGAAGAAACATCCCTCAGACAGCGTCTGAACGCTTTTTTCCTGCAACATCTATTAACAGTGCGACTGCTGATTCAGGGAGACAACCACTTAACCACCAATCGAAATGTACCCGAATAAATTGCATTTATTCGCTTCTCGGGAACAAGAAGGGGAAACTTGAGGTACTCGCAGTAAGTACACGTCTCCGATGGCTCCTCAAAGCGGGAACAAGACACGATGGGCCGCTCTGGTAAGTGCCTCGGAGAGATGTCGCTCCACAGCCACAGCGAGAAGATCTCTCGCCACTGCCTGGTAGCCCAACCTCAGATGGTGCGTCTCCGGCGTGTCATCGAGGCCGCTGAAGACGGTCGTGGCGCTTCCCAGCTCGGGATACGCCCTGGCCGAAGGAGCCTTCCAGGCGCCAACGGAGAAGTAGAGTCGTCCACGGACTTCGGAAAAGGTAGCGTTGGCATGGACCTCCGTCAGGTTGCGACCGTACTTGAGGGTGCTGCACAACCGGACTTCGACATCTCCCACAGTGATGTTGCAGCCGACAAAAGCCCTCCGCGGAAGCGAGCGTCCGTAGCTACCGCAGTCGCCCGAGCGCTGGACGCTGCCCAACCCCGTCACGTTGGTGGCGCAGAACGAGACCCAGCCGAACGGGTGTTGCCTCAAGTGGAACTTGAAAGGACGCAGCGTGAGCGGGTCCAGGTACTTGAGTTCCGCCGGGAGTTCGTCCTTGATTACTTTGTCCACGTAAGCGTTGGCATCGTCTTCCGACTGACCCGATATTCCTGCGATGACCGTCGAAAAAGAGAAAATAAAAGCATAGTAGATGAAAAGTACGGTTGGACTTTACTAGAAATAAAAACAAAAACAAAAGTATGGCTTATATTAAAAAAATAAAGCGGTTGACAACAGCATGAATTCAGATTAATACATTTGCTTGAATTTCGGCCTCTACTTTGTGACAACGTAATAACATATAGCTCCACACTAATGGAGGCATGCAACAATATTCGGTTGAAAGGTTTCTCACTTCACGCGAACTTACTGGTATCATTGGCCTCAAAGTATTCGGAACTCCAGACACCTATAGGGGTTTCCAAAATTGCGCAAATATGGCGGTCTAAAACAGGACATGCCGTACCAGGTTTCAGGTCAACGCACAACACTCAGGATTCGGCTGGCAAGTATTGGATTCAAAATGATTAGCCCCGATCTTGACTCACTACGTTTCAAACATACGGCGATGCGATTGCGTAAGCGAGCTTCCAGAGGCTTGACCTTTTTTGGGAACAGGAGGGAAGGACTGCAATGCTGATGAACGATGATAAACTTACGTCTGGTTCACGCGGTACCCTAGGTGACGCTCACAGCGACCTGGGCAACACTCTGACACGACATTAACAACATAGTCACCGAAACAACTCTTCCACCGCACCAACCTCCCACAACACGTAATGATGAAAGCCACAAGGGTCGAGCAGAAATCGCGAAAGGACCTCTTCGGTTCAGTTCAATGTATTCCCGATATGCGCCGTCCGTTTTGCTGGAGTCGCGAATACTCGTCGGCAACGCCACTAATCCAGAAGTGTCTTGGTCGCATTATAATTTTGATGATTAAGGTTTTTTTTTTCTTTGAAAACCTTGATTTTAAAGATCTGGGGATTGCATTGTTTTGCTTTGTTAAAGGAACGATGCTACGGTTTTTTTTACTTTGCGCAAACAACGCTTAGAACGAATCCCTGGCGTTAATAAAATATAAAACACGCGTTCATTTTTCACCACACGCAATAGAAGTCGCAAAAAAATAAGGAAAAACAAGCAGCGCTAACCCCATTAAATTAATACTCCGGCCGTTTTTTTTTTTTTTTTTTTTTGAGCTACCCTAACAAATTGCATTCTCGGACTACTCGAACTTTAATCTTCGCGGTATGCTATTTATTTTCTCGAAATTCAAAATAGCAATTGAGAATACCGTAAATGAAGGTGATGTCGAAACCAGCATTGAAATTTCCGCGCGCTTTCCAGTGGCGTGACGCCACAAATTGTACAGACTTTCAAGTCGTGCAGGTATTATTAAACAGGGTATGTCAAATGTTCTTGGCGTGCTTTTCAGTGAATCAGCCACCGAGCATTTTTTTCTCATCATCAAACATCTTGTAATCAGTCGGGAACATGGCTTACTGCCCGCTTAGTGCCATTTCTGTCGTCACACTCTAATGTTGCCATTAGGAGCTCCCGGTTTGAGAAATACGATGGAAACTAAATTCGAAAATTCAAAAAACTTCTGGAAAAGCTTTTTTTTTTTACGCAATACCTGGGGAACTGGTACGTACAGCCATGTCTATCGGTGTGTTGAGCCTAGTTTGAGGCAAATCAGCGACCATGAAAAAATCGCCGGAGTATCCCAATAACTCGCAGCCAGACCATGGGCCACGTGATATGGAGACGAATATATGACGATATTCTTGATATGGATGCCGCCAATGCTGGGTTTGGCTAAGCAGAAGACATGCGTTGAGTTCCAGTCATTGTTGTGGTTCGGCAATTGTCGTCATTGCAGCGATTGGACGCGGTGCAATACCCGAATGCTTGTCGAGCTATTGACTCTGAGCGGCATTCTATGGGCCAAATTCAAGTATCGTCACTTAGGGGTACTGCGACTCCCCAGCTCCGTCCTAAGTTTTTTTGAATGAGAGATTAAAAGAAAACGCACGCTTTTGTCCTTGAAATTAAACCGCAACAAAGGAGTTTCTTGGTCAGTGGCATGGCGTTCGAGTATACTTGAATCTCACTAGTGCCATTTAGCTCGCGTGAAGCGAGAAACATTCCAAGCGAACATTGTTGCGCGACTCCTTTAACAGTGCGATCCCTACAATCTCGTCATAAAGATCCGCGATCCGCGTGGTGATGATATTTAAACCCGACGCATGCAGTGAGCCCGAGCTCTGCGTGAGCATTCCATTTGGGATCGTGACAATCATTGCATAGGCATGCCGGGTAGTGAGTCGCGCCCAATCGCTGCAATAGCGGGAATAGACGAACCTTAAAAATGTGTGCAACCCAGCGCATACCGTGCCTTTTACCAACCGCAGTGCGCAGCTATGATAAACATTGGCCGTATATAATCGGTTACAGATCACGTGGGCTGCTTCTTCTGGCTGCAAGTTGTGGGGATAAGCGCTGTGGGTTACTTTTGATTTTTTTTCCTGCGAATGCAATTGCAAGGAGAAAAAATCTAACGCATGGTGTATGGGTTATTGAAGTCAAGAAATAATTCGAATCGAAATGTACTGAAAGTAACTAAAATGCCGTTGCATCGTCCCTTTAAAACGGGTCGATAAGTAAGCACAAATATTTATTGCTACTTTTAAAGCCCTATAGAAACGTCTCCGAGCGCCGATGCTTCGCAGATTTTATGTTTTTCTTTAATGGGACGCTGAAATACTACAAGAATAGGAAGCTCAAGTTAAGAAGTATATATGCATACAGTCAATAGCTCGCCCTATATATCACCTCTTGGACTTTACTTGTTTTGAATCGGGTAATAGAATTTTTTTATCCTGACAGCCCCCCTAACAATTTGTAAAATATTTCAGTCTCTGTGCAAAGATCTCCAATCTTAAAGCCGCCGCGCCAGCGCGCGTTTTTCTTCGAGGGATGTTACCTGATTGGCTGTGGCCTCAAATACTCAGTAGCGTGGCGGGACATGCTTAATGTGGATCGAAATAGGCATACGGAGCAAAAAAGAGGCCACTTAGTTGTCTAGCGTCCTTTATCTACCTATATAAAAGAGCAAGCAGCGAATCTCTGACTCCATTCGCGGTAATAAAGGGTTGGACCTGACGAAAATAATCAAGCGTTTAAATGTTATTAAGCGCGCTACGGAAGTGACGCGTGTGTCAGTGGCAGTGCTGAAACCTCTATCGCCACTTTTACGCATTTTACAAGTAATATCAGACGCCATCCCACCCTGTTTAATCTGGAATTGCACACCGTCGTCCAGGCCCTGGCAGATATACTAGACATCAGTTATACCACCTACGCTGTTTAAATTACGGTATGAATGCCCATGGGTTCGGCAGGGCACAAGACTACACTTTTTGAACACACTATTAACCAAGTGCATCAGGCAGCCCTGTGCGTTAATCTTCAGTGCTCCTCAGAAAAGTTTGAATTACTGCTCGCTCACAATTCGAAATAGCAGCGCCCTCCAATCAACCTCACACAGAACGGTGCCGACATCCCTCAACCCCCTGCCATCTGCCTACTTGGACTCCGTGTACAACAAGATGGTAGAAGCTCGAGCACATCCCACCATATCCTCAAACAAAGTGAACACATTCTTAACATGCTCCGGAGAACGGCACCTCATTCCAATGGACTTAAAGAGGCGGGCATGATGTGCCTGTGACGCACAACCACTTTCACGCTTCCGCTATCACCTCCCCTACCTAACCTTTATGCAAGATCAGAAGAACAATCTTGATGTCCGGCTTTGGAAGCGCACCAAACGCGCATTAGGTCTCTCTTTCAGCAAGAGCACCATTCTCCTCTAGGAAATGGGCTCTCATAATGTAATATCTGAACTCATCGCTGTTCACAAGATACGTCGAAAGATCCGCTTGTCCCTCACGAAACAGGAATGTCCCATTCTGACGCGCCTACTACGTCACACATCAGTGCACCTACCTCCCCGCAAACCCCCTAACACCACCCATCAGGAACCCCATACACATTGCAACATTACCTTGACAGATGCATCCTTACATACATAATCCGCGCCGGCAGCAAAGGCTAGCCTATTTCTAACGCCTAGTCTTCCAACATTCGGACAACCTTTACTACTATGCGGACGCCAGCACCTCTGAAAGGGGGTCGGTAATCACCGTCGTTGACGAACATCCACGCGAACTGTACAGAGCCCCACTCCCCATTACAGACAGTTGCACTAGCGAACTGCGGGCCATCGTCACCACCATTACATACCTCCCTTCGCGACCCCCTTCCCAAACACCCATCATCTTCACGGACGCTATGGCTACGTTTTCTTGGATGCTACCATAGCGCATCGAATCGAGAGGTGACCAATCACGCGCCCCCGATCCTTCCTTCCCTTCTCTCCCCTCCTTCTCAATCCTCCTTCTACCCAATCATAGATCCATAGGCAACAAATTTCGATTTGTCTCGCTACGGTCGCGTCCATGTAACCCCCGCTTATGGATCCAAGCAGGCTTCTTCTGCACGAGAACAGCTTGGCATTAATCATCACACTCATTCACTCGCACTTTCACTACCCTGTAAACATTGTGTAAATTCAAGGGCCCGAAGGAATGCTGGGCAAAGGAAGCGCGCATGAGCTCTCCTACGGCACACTTTACCGTGCACCCAGCATCCTCGGGCCTAACAACGCAATGAGGCACGTACACACGTCCACACTACAGCCCTACTCAAACTACAGCCCGACTCTTCCTACCACTCCACTCCATCCTGTCATAGCAACAAAGCGTCAACATTCGGCGCGCACAAACCAATAGTCTGCCTTCCCAACACGTCTGTACGTTGTGCGCAGTGCCATCAGTGAACACGCACCGCATTGCCTTAATTATGGAGGCTACCCATACACCTCCCACATTCTCTCGACTTGCAACCCATTTCATCCTTCCCCTCTCCTTATCTCCTCTTTTCAGCCTCTCTTTCCCTACCTCTTAACCCGGAGTGGCTGACTACAGCCACCGTACTTCAGGACCAGGTATACCTGGCAGAATATTTCCGGGCAGCCCTGGAGTGCAGTGTGGCAAAATCTATGGACTGATTCGTCGACCCAACCTACACCCTACGACGGGCCTCGCCACAAGAGGGAGAGCAGCGGAGCTCTATTACGATGGCTCCGAAATTTTAATACAATAAAACACTTGTTTCTCTTTCTGTATCTCTCTCTTTCTTATAGATGTTTCACAAACGCGTAATTTGTGAATACTTTTAGTGTGTCCAAAAGTTGGAGAGCGCTCTTTGACTTTTGCCGATAGCCAAAGCATGTTCGATCACCGGTCCAACAATGTAGTCTTACCCTTATTTAGAGGTTGGCAATGTTTATGTTACGTCACGTAACAACATTTGAGCCAACAGCCAATTGGTAGGATTCCGTGTTTTCGGAGTTTACTTGTCGTGCAATAGGGGGGTGTTTTTCTTTTTAGTTTTATATGTAGCGCGGTGTTGATAGGATTTTTTTAAAGATTTTTAATGGTCCAGAGTTTGGAATTTAATTTCACTTTGTTCCTATTTTTTCATTTAAATCCCACTTTAAATTTATAATAATTGTCCGGTATCAAATTATATTTCTTTAGCAGGATTTGGCGTTAGGGGCTTTGACATTGGTGATACTAACGGTCCCACGAAAGAACTTGCAAACAAATGGTGCTTTCATGGACATTCAGATTTTAAAATATATACAAACTCACGGACATTGAACTTGGAAACTAGTGTTCTTGTGATGCATTTCCACCACTCTAACCCACGGTTGCACGGACACGGGAAGTAGCGAAAGGAGTACAAACTTCAGCTGCCTATCCCGAGTTCTATAAAATCTACACGTTCATAAATTCCTCTGTTACACCAAAAACAACCCCTTTCACTAAGAAGCAAAACTACTATGGTCCAAATTGGAAGCCCAAACAGTGGCTTCTGCAGTGAGTGAGAAGCAGAATGACGCGTTGTCGCTGCCGAACTTTGAAGACACAAGTGGTACTGACTCATTTGGCAATGATTTCAGGTTTAAAAAAAACTGGAGTGATCTCTTCTCAGCATCAATTACCCTGTGGTCTGAAAAAAACCTATTTGTAGGATATATATATTATATATATATTACGCTGTGATTCCAGAATTTGAGGGTGATCTAATAAATTCGAATGTAGAAAAAATTTATTGGCGAGTGTGTTTCGAAGTTGTTTTCGAATTTATCCGCAACACGGAACCCTACCGCAATAGGATAGAAACCCTCCGCAAAAGTCGCGAGCTCGCGCGGCAGCGTTAAAGTTGGGGAGCGTAGGCCTTTACTACATGTGCGTAAAGTAAAGAAAATTAGCTTGCCGGCCAGAAGTGCAGTAAGGGTTAGAATCAGCAGCATCTTGATCTGAAACACACACAAAAAATTGATTGTATATGCTCAGAAATGCTTTGCACACCACAAAACAAAGAAACCTTTTTTTTCAAATTTGTGCGACGTCTTTTATAAACTATCAATATGAAAGCAAGAAACGTGTAGTCTTCCAACGAATTCCACCAGTCACTAAGCGACTCATGAAAGCCGTCGCCGGCGAGTTCTCTCAAAAGCGGGTTTGCAACACTCGAAGAATTGCTAGAACCCGAAGCATAGTTGCAGTGTATCCATCATGTAGTTTATGCCATCCCCCACCGCCTCCCATCCCCCCTCCAGCGTACTTTCTGAACTCGAGATTAGCAAGAATGAGGCTTCCATTTACCAGTTCTATGATTATCAAAATTAAGAAAGCAACCCTACACACAACCAGTCATTGAGATGGTCTACATGAGCCGACAGACTACCGAAAGGCTCTAGTTCGCTGGAATTTATCGCTTCAAGGTGATATTTATACTGCGAATATTGCGTATATCTGAAAATATATAGCTTGTAATCACGCGTGCATTAATAGAAGTGTAACACAAAATAAAGATATTCAGAGTGGTTTACCGTAACAGAATTTAGAAATGCAACGCGACTTTAACAAGAACGCTTGTCATCCAGGGGCACTCTAATTTTTCCAAATAAGCCCGCCCATTTTTAGGTGTTAGCGTCCGCCCAAAATGTACAAAGGGATTAAAAAAGGATCAGACGTCCACCAAAAACATAACACTTTTTTTAAGAATGCGAGGTTATAAACGTCCCGACAATGGTGTTACTTTAGATGAACATATAAATTGGCGCTAGGGAATACATACCTACAGCTCTGTCAGACTTTCAAGCGACTGTGCTGTTTAGATCACCACAAAGAGCTTTTATATCAGTCTTCTACATCGTGGGAAGCATACATCTGTGATCGTGTTTATAAATAATTTGCCGCGCTACATCGCAATCGCATGACTTCCACGCGGATTCTAAAAATAAAACGTGATGTCCGTCGGCCGCGAAAACATGTACATTTCGCGAGATAAAGCCCGGAAAATTCACTTCTGTCACAAGGTTTTATGCCTATAAAAGACAGCGGATAAAAATTACGAGAGGCACTTTCTATGTGACAGTATGCACGTGTCTCTATGCATTAAAGATTAGCCTACCAATAAACAATTGCCAGGCCAAGTCGGTATCATAAGGAGAAATTTTATCGTTTGTTTATTAAGAACAAAACTTTCCAATGTTTAGGTTTTAATTCCTACGTCTGTTTCATTCCGGCTTTAGAATAAAATCTTATGGAAGAAAGGAGAAAGATAAAAACGCACATTTAGAAAATAATAAAAAAACGATTATTTGTGATTAATACACAGGCACAAATTAATATAGAAACATTTCCAGTTTAACGTTTGATATAACTCACGGACGTACCCTAAATTCTTGAATTCTTAAAACAAATACCAAGTAAAAGCTTTGAGTACTTAATAAGTAATATATGCTGTTTTAATATTTACCCGAAATTTAGACATACAGTTTACACACGTAACGTTTCGAGTACATAGAAGCAATAAGTGCCACATGCTATACCTTAAAAATTCTAAATCTAATAAAACGTGATTAAAATAATTTATAGACATTTTTTATAGCTATAAAAGCGAACGGAAAATGAGAGTGCACACAGAAAAATATACATTCAAAACTTCTTACAGGAAAAATGCAGATCTTACCTCCCGCTTTGTTTCTACTTCTGCTTGCGTTGAACGGCGGAGTTCTGAACATTTTAATCTACCAATATTGGAGTAAATATTGTTTTAGAGCATCTAGGATACCCTCATATAAAAACACAAAAAAAATCTTTTATCTTCGATTGTTAACCGATTTTTACCCTGTATATCACATTCAAGATTCCTTTATTACACTAGAGTCAAATGTAGTGTGAAAATGCACACTAAAAAGTTGCCGCTGGAGAATATTTTTACAAAAAGCTAGCCCATTTTCATTGAAAATATAAAAAACATAGTAATTAGTAATTATAGAATGCTCACTTCACTAACCTGGCAAAAAACACTATTATTGATACTGCGGAGGTGACGACCATGAAAATAATTATTCTTGGGATAATTTCGGCATGATATCAGATGTTTTAGAATCTTAATCCGGCTTTCGCAACTATGAGTTCTCCAGCCATACTGAATAAATAACACGTCCCACTTAAGTGACAGTGTGTTTCTTTTTAAGCTTAACAGAGTTGTTTAGGAAAAGCCGTGAAAGTTAAACTAATGCGATTTATGCGGGTGAGTTATACGGCCAGCCGGATATAGTGTAAGGGACTAATCGTAATGATCAGTCGGATAATTAACTAAACTATGTGAATAAACTTCTAAAAATCAAAAATAAGCGTATGGTTCTTATTAGACACTTGCTGAGCGTTATCGAAAAATCAGCCAATATTAGAAAAAACTGGTGCACCTGTATTTCCTTCTTCCTCTGTATTTCCTTCTTTCATTTTTTTTTTTGTTACAGTTGCGTTGTTTGGTTGGCGGATTTCGCTGCGCAGGTGTCTGGCAGTTGGCCAACTCTCTTGGACGTCGCACGCGTCACTCACTTTTTCCACCGCTAAATCAGCGTTAACCCCCAATAAGTTTGCAATTCGACATTTAAAATGAGCAACGTTCACCTCTTCAAACCAAACGAAAAACTCAAGGCCACGGGATCTAGGGCAGATATACGTCGCCACTGTTCTTGCGCACTGTCTTCGTAACAGTGTGTTGCGCTTGGGGAATTGCTAGAGTTCGGTTTTTCGCGTCACTGCAGCGATCCAACACAAGCCGCAGCTCCAGATGTCCGCTCCAAGCCTCAGTCGAATGCTCACACAGTGCTCCTACAGTTCATAAGTCGGATTGGACTATTGTTACCCCGGACAACTTCAGCAAGCTTTCAACAAAACAAAAGACAGTACGAATGGTTCGTTGTTATATCTGAAGCTACACCTCAACAAGGAAGTTCCTGAGTCCGTGACCCATAAGTAGGGTTCTGTGTTTTCTGTATTGATTTTTTTTCAAACTCGGGGTTATTTATCGGTGTTCATTTTTTACCCTGGAATGTGTTTTCCAGTATATAATTTTAAGGCCGGGGAAAATCAGTGTTTATTGGGCTACTGTCATGAGGCGAGTCTATAATTACTAAAGAAAGTAGTATAATTTATAAGCTATCAATTATAATATTTTCTCCAGTAAAGCCCATAAAACTATAGGAGTAGGGAGCGGGGCAAGAGACGTGGTTTCAATAGAAAGGAACAATCCCAAAGAGTGTTTTGTGCGGCTGTGTTTTGGGGTCAAGGAAAAAACATAAAAAAGAAGGGTGGAAGGCTTTTTACGTGAAGGGGGCTTTTTTTATCACAGACTAAATTTTGAGTGATTCGGCTTTCACCGTTTAAGAAAAAACAATCTTAGGGTTAATTTTTGGGGTTAATCGGTATACACCGAAAACACGAGACCCTGCCCATCAGCTTCTTTGTCTTTGCGTACAAGAATCTCGTGTCGCGTTTATGTCACACTGTGCCCGTACACTCTAAAAACAAATCCGATCTTGAAAGGTACTTTTACGCCCCAAGAACGCTTTCAGCTCATGAAGAACGGTTTCGCCTAAAAAACTGTTGCCCCTTGGAGTACTAGAAAGACAGCTGGGTAATAAAGAACTCTTTCGCAGAAAAACAAAGGAGCTTAGGAGAAGCTCTTATAGGTTTTTTTACGAAGAACGGTTTTAGGGGAAGCTTAAAATAACTTTTTAGGGTGCAGAATGTGGTCAAGCCAAAGAACCCCTAAAAGTTCATTTACGACCCCATTTTTTTACAGTGTATACTTTAGTTAAGTTACATAGTAATTATTACCAATGTCGTTTTATGAACCATTCAATGCACATCATTGTTTTACACTGATCAATGTTTGACTGCGTTATTAAATTGTTTTACACTCCGTTTGACATTAAGACCAACCGCAGACAATATTTCGATCCGATGTGGCCAATCAAGCAGGGCCAATGTTTTATCGTCATGGCGATCGTCGTTTTTGTGAACTTCCTATCCCCGGCTAAACCAATTACGCACAAAAGAAAAAAAAGTGCAAGATCTCGGCGAATTAACTATGCCAGATTGGCTTAGATGGTGATTGCAAACGCACAAAGACGACGGGCGCCGTGACGATGCACTTTTGTAGCAACTGGATTGGCTCCATCCAATCGTAGCGTTGGCAACAGTCGGACTTGGTGTGAAACGAGGTGGGGTAACCGGACGAATATTTTTACGGCGCAGGCGATAAACCCCCTAGCAACGACGCTCACGCCGGATTGGCTGTTCGTGGAGATGGACAATGCCGCCGTCACATATAGCACCGCACGGCTGCGATGCGAGCTTGGATTTTGGTTTTGGACGCAGCGTGTTTCACTGGGGAGCGTCTTAAGCCGCACCCCCGTCGCCATAACATGGCGACGTACAAATTTGAATTCCGTGATGGAATGACACCAGGAAAAAAAAAAAAAAACCGGAAGCCAGGTTTTATTTGTTGACATATTCACCTACAAAAATCATATCGTTTACCATATTCATGTTTGTGGTGGGCGATTCAGATAAGTAATATGTACTTTCACCCCACATTGGCCAAGCATTTTACAACCTCACGCATTTCTATTTAACAAAAAAATCCTCGTCAGAAATTAACAAAAGCTGCTTCTCGATGTTGCTTCCTGCAAGACGAGCAATTGGAGAAGAGGGCGTGTTTTTTGGCAGGTTAGCTTCGAAAACTAACAGCCCTTTCTGAAGGTTCAATTTCTTGTTCTGTTTGAAAGGGAGAGAGGATAAAGGTTAATTTATGTGTGTTTTTTAAAGTGACTATTGTTTGGAATACAAGGGTGCGTCCGACTTCTGTTAACCTTCTCTTTTGTTTTAACCTGCTTCTCTCTTTCTGTAAGTTGAGTGCTGGCTGTAGTCGGCCTTAGATTTCTGGGTGCATTCGTGGAAGCAAAAAAAGTAGCTGAATTTGAGACGCCCCTCT